CCCCAAAACCCCAAAACCCCAAAACCCCAAAACCCCAAGAAATAAATTTACTGTTGATAAAATTAAGAATATATTTATTCTAGATATGATAAATGCCTCTGCAATTTTACAATAATAATTGTGATATCATCCTCCTTTTCTCTAATGTTAAGCACTTCATCAAGAAGCTCATGTCAAATATCTTCAGGAGTGTATTTGTATTTCTCTCTTACAAAATCAACGACTTGTTGCGACTCCAGTTCGTCATACAATCCATCGCTAGCAACAACAATAAATTCATCAGTGAAAGGATCCATGAGATGCTCTCTAACCTCAGGAGTGACCAAGACAGTGTTGTAATCAAGTCAATTAAATGTATTTTGACTTTTAAAGGCGGAATCTCCAAAAGCTCTTGTAATGGAGAGCTTACCATGTACTCTTCCAACTTCCAGTCCTCCACTCTCTTCTATTCTCCTCTTCTCATCCTCTCTAGCTAGGTTATGGTCCCAACTGAGCTCTAAAGGCTTGCCATCAATAGACATGATTGCTCTGGCATCTCCAACATTTGCTCAGTAGATCCGATCCCCAATTATCAGAACACAAGCAGCAGTTGAGCCGCAGTTCTTAGATTTGGCTTCATATTTCCTGATGAATTCGTTGTCAACATGATAGCATGTATCTTCAAAGATGTTATTTGATACTCTTCGCAATGTTTTTACTATTTTTGATGCCATCAAACCTATCAGTCAGCTTCTCCTTCAAGACTTTATGGAAGTTCTCCTTGAGATATTTGGCACAGAAAGAACCACCGTGACCATCATAGACTGCAAAGAAACTGCATTTTATGTATTGGTCAATCTTCATATCCTGAATAATTGTGTATGTGTCATCTGAACCATGGCTTCCTTTAGCATGCTGAATTACACTGGTGTTGTACCTCTCTAGGCGGAATTCTAGATGACCGACTTTGAATTGATCACCAGGGACGAGGATGTGTTTCTGGTCTTTCTCAAGCATTGTGTATACCCCATTCATTTCATTATGATTAGGATCTTTGAGCCACCAAGATCCTCTCTTATATTCAATCACTGCTTCAATTTCCTTTTCTAGAAAAGTTATCAGAGGAAATACCTGGGTTATAAGAATTTGGAACAATAGCTTTGACATCTTCGACAAGGGTATCTTTCCCAAGAATATGCTTGAGTTTGGCTTCCTCTTCTAATTGAAAAATGTTTGATCCAATGTTATCTTGTATCCCTTTTGGATGTGAAGGATCCAATATTTTCATAAATTTGTCACTCCCATCTAAGTCAAGCTTGACATTTGAGTCGTTGAAGTACAACTGAAGCATATGCTTCTTTTTCTTTGAAAGACGAGAAGGTTTGATTTCATAGAACAACTCTCTTATCTTTTTAGACTCCTCAAAATCGCTGATGATATTTTGGCTAATGGCAGCTCCCATTATTGATTCTGCCTGCAATTTAAGGTCTTTAATGATACTGATGTTAGCTTCTTGAACTAAACTATAACATACAGAGTGAGGAAAGATCTGAAAATGTCTTACTGTTGGATTTTCTCAAGGTTATTACTCTTGATCCATGTATCAACTTCGTTAAAATACTCTTCAGTCATTTTCAAAGTGACATAGGTATCACCAAGTCTGAGTATTCTATTGTCACCATCAACTTTATTCTCTCTAATTTCATAAAGGTCGATGCCTTCCTCAGGAACCCTGATAAAGACTCTATCTTCTGGAGAAGAATTGATTTGGTTTCCATCTATATCACTGTCCTTTTCCATGATATAGTAATTATAAGCTTCTATCAGCTTAATTTCTCAATGAGCAGGCTTGAGATTGGCATTTTCGATTCAAATAGTACATTGATCCTCTTCTCTCTGACTGCTGCCAATGATTTCGAACTTCCTAGAAGTGTTGATATGGAAATATCTGTTTTCGTATAGAGGGAGGTCCTCACTGTTAACCGATTCAACTTCTCTGTTGTGCTGTGGAGTGACCCCTCCGACTCATTTGATTATGTAGTCATAAACCCCAGGATCAATATCGTAGAAGCACTCCTCAGGGTATCCATAGTCGTCAGTTACATGGTCTATAACTAATGAGTGAAAGATTACCTGCCATGTGGCCTCCTACTTGGTTATCCTTATTTTTCTTCTTTTCTAATAAAATAGTCTTTGTATAAGCTTTCATTAGCTCAGTGTTGCTTTCCATTTTCTTATTTTCAATATTTTTATATTTTTAGGGGTTTTGGGGTTTTGGGGTTTTGGGGTTTTGGGG